GTAGTTGATAAAGAACAAAAAATTTAATTGAATAAATGATAAAGTTTTATTAAGTGTTAATATATTTAAGGTGTCTTGTGATAAAGGTCTTATCCTGATACATTGATCGAGTGGGGACTTATATATTATAAGCTATATATATATATATATATATATATAGTGATGATGGATGATAATATTGATGGTTTGAAAGTTCACTCATCCTTCATCATATCAAGCATCTTTGCATACTTTTGTTTCATGGCAACTTAAGATCTTTTTTCATTGCTTTATTTATTTACTTCAAAAATTGGCCTAACCATTTCAGGGGGATGTTGTCGGAACATATATTTAAACATTTAAAAGGAAATTTATTTCAAAACTCAGACCAGAAGCCCATTATAGGCTTGTATGGTGCAACAAATATCACAAACAAAAAAAAACAATTTCAAAAGATACAAAATAATGAAAAGTTAAATAAATTCGCAAATGTAGAAAGTAAGATTTATACAGGAAGTCAGTCAATGAACCAAAAACTGCAGGAAATAATTAGCCAACAACAATTCAATTCAACCAATAAAATATCCTTCATTTGTTCATTGGTTCATTTGTTAAAGTAATGATTCATTCATTTATTCATCTACTCATTAATTCAGGTTTCATTCATTCATATTTTTTTTGCAATTTCACTCAATCCATCAGCATTCATTAATTCAGTTAAATACTAATTTTTTCATCCATCCATCCATTCATTCATTTATTCATCCATTGATGAAAAAAGCAACAATTATAGTAATAAAATTCTTAATAATAATAATAATAGACTCTAAATGCAACAAGAGAAGAAATATTAAAAAACTGAACTGGAAACTGATCAAAGCTGAAAATGCTGTGGTATTACTTAGTAATAATTTTTACAAAGGTCTAAATCATAAATTATTTTATAAATGGTTTTCAATTATTCAAAACCGAGCAATATAGAGCAACATAACTTATATAGATGCATTAAAAAAACCCATAGAGTCACTATGTCCATATCAAATAAAAAATTAACTTCAATGGTTCTAAACTTGCTGTAAAAAAAAATAAAATAAATAGACATAAATAATTGAAAAGAACCGAATTCAAGCTACAAATCAATCAAATTCGTTTTCCAAGCATGCTTCCAAGCCATTTTCCAATTGTATTTCAAAGCTTAAACCGATTGTTCAAAATAGACTTCATGTTCAAAATAGACTTCATGTTCAAAACAGACTTCATGTTTTAAATGTTTGCATCCATGCATTGATCATTTTTGTAGCCCTTTTTTGTTCCCGTTCATTTGCTAGAACCTCCTTCTTTGTCCATGGTGACCATACAGATGCAGCAAAGAATTTTTGCTCCAGTTTTGTAAATAGTTCAACCATAAATTTAAGAACAGGTAATTATGGCATCTCTGCTAGTAAGTAAGAGATGACATGAAGTTACCAAACTGAGAACACATCTGCTGGGCCTGTAACGTCAAATTAGCGTAACGTCAGTTAGATTTGTTTACAAACCCAACAGGAATGAATTATTTGCAGAACTGGCATCTGACGTACCATCTAACTGTTTTATTCAATTTTTCAAACTCTTCTTTATCAATATAAACATCTTTATTCATGTTGTTATAAAATGTCGACAACTCATTGTTGCCATTAAAAACAACAACAACAGTATTATCACCAATGCTGTAGTCTTGTGGGGCAGACTTTTGTGGCAAAGTTTTGCCAAAAAAATCATAAAACTGAGATTGGAACTCATTTTCTAACCCTTAGCCTAACCGATTTTAAAATTGGTCAAATTAAACGGTGGACTTCTTGTTGAAAACTAACTATAACACTTTATTACTTAAACTCTCGTTAACATTAAATTTACTTGAGGTTATTATGATTGCATCACTATTATCATTGTTTTGTAGTTTTTAAAAGTTTGAAATTAATTTTTGATATTCTATTATTCTTATTATTGTTATTATTCATTCATTTAAATTTTTAAATGATTCTCTTCTAAAGGAAAGGCAGCTGTTGAATTTAAATAATCTGAACTTTTCATTGGCTCATGTTGTTTATTCGTTCTTTTGTTCATTCCTTCTTTCATCCATTTATTCATTCAAAATTGTTTTTTAATTAATAAATTAATTAATGAAGTAATTCATTCACTCATTCATTCATTTATTCATTCATTCATTCAATCATTCATACATTTTTTACTTTTACAGATAACATCCTAAGTAGTACTCACATATACTACTATATGGGCTGTCAAGTCTGAGTGAGAGAAAGAGAGAGAAAGAGTGAGTAAAAAAAGAAAGTGAAGGAGTAGAAAAAAGAGTGTAAGAGAAAAAGAAAGAAGATACTTTATAAGGGAAGGCAACATCCCAACCCCTAAGCAATCTGGCTAACTTTGTGACGGCCGTTTGGAATAAAGCACTGACGTTTTTCCATTTAACTTGGAGAGATATCAACTAGCAAAGTTAGTTTTGGCCACATTATTACGTCATTACCACGTCATCATCGTCAACAACATCATCATCATCATTATCACATCATCATCATCATCATTACCACATCATCATCATTATCACATCATCATCGTCACCATCGCCAGATGCCAGTAGGTTCTTCGGATGAGTACAGCGATGATGACGATCTCATGATCTTTCCACTGACCGACATCAACGTCGATGATGACGACTTTAAAAACCACCAGCAGCAGCAGCAGCAACAGCAGCAGCCACTTCATCAACAGCATCATCATCTCAAGCTACAGCAGCAGCAGCAGCAGAAAAATGATCACCTGGTCCCGCATATGAACAGCAACATCGACGACGAGCCACCGTCGTCTCCATTCTCACCAATCGACGACGATGACGACGACGATGACGACAGCGGCAATGGTAGTAGCGGCATTGGCCGCGATGGCGAAAGGAAGAAGCTGGCACCACTTGATTTGAAAATGAATGACGTTAAGGGTCGTCACAATCAGGAACACAATCATCACCATCATCATCATCATGATGATCTTAAGAGAATGATGAAGATATCTAACAACAACAACAACGATAATGATGATGATGACCCTAACAATAATGTTAGTTGCCGTTACTTGGTCACATGAATTAGTGTTTTGGACTTTTGATTTAATGGTATTCCTGTATTTTATGTATTCTCGTACTTCTTTTTGCGTCGTTATTATCGTTGTTGTTGTTGTTGTTGTTGTCATTGTGTTGTTGTTGTTGTTGTTGTCGTCGCTATTATGGTTATTTCAGGCAGTTTTACTTAGATAGCATTCAATAGCAATAAATTAGCCAATATAATGAATGGCTTTATTACTTGCTCTGCTATAACATCCTGCTTTTCAGATAAGGTAGCTACACACACACACACACTCACACACGTGCCATCATCTGCACACATTCCCACATCAAAAAGATGAACTTTAAACTTTATAATTATTCGTCATGCCACTCATTCATAATCATCATGTCTCAAAAAAAATTAAACTTTGTGGCCTCAGCAAATGTGTCTCATTGTATATTCCCATAATTTTAGTTCGGGCGTCGCTATGGTTTAGTAGTTAAGGTGCCTGACATTGCTGCTGATGCCGAGTGACCTGGTTTGATTGCAAAGAGATCTCCGCTTATCACATGCAAAAGTGTGAGTGTGTGATGCGTTGTTGTTCCACCTGTGATTTTACACACTGTGTGTGTGTGTGTGTGTGTGTGTGTGTGTGTGTGTGTGTGTGTGTGTGTGTGTGTGTGTGTTGTAATAATAATAATAATGCGTCTTAGTCGCTTGCCATGGCGTTATATAAAATGACCATTTTCGTTAATATTTTTCTTCTTCTATACCTACTAAGCTTAAGACATATGCACCATTAACTACTTTCTTACTAAGATATTAAAAACATAGTAATTGGTTATACTTTTCATTCCTAAGGTGACTTGTGGTTTAATTTTGGTTTTGTTATTATTATTTAAAACGATTTATTGTTATTATTATTGTTGTTATTATTGTTATTATTATCTCGTTCTATTTAAGGACCCTTGTTTGTAAGAACCTTATTTTTGGAAAGAAAGAAATTTTTTTTATTGTTGTGTGTATTTGGGTTGGTTGGCTGATTGGTTGGTTGGTTGATTGGCTGATTGGTTGGTTGGCTGATTGGTTGGTTGGCTGATTGGTTGGTTGGTTGATGGGTTGGTTGATTGGCTGATTGGTTGGTTGGTTGATGGGTTGGTTGATTGACTGATTGGTTGGTTGGTTGATTGGTTGGTTGGTTGATGGGTTGGTTGATTGGCTGATTGGTTGGTTGGTTGATGGGTTGGTTGCTTGACTGATTGGTTGGTTGATTGGTTGGTTGGTTGATTGGTTGGTTGATGGGTTGATACGATTGTTTGATTTATTATTAAA